AAACGAAAAAAAAAAGAAACGAAAAAAAAAAAGAAACGAAAAAAAAAAGGAACTGTGTCGGAAATGCCATCCCCGATAGTTCCTGCCAGGGGCACCATCCAACTGCCGTGTTCCCCCGAACACAAAGCACCCTCAACGTGACTGTATCGGACTGGATTTATAGCTCGTATACATTAAGGATGAGGGTGCGTTGTGTTCGGGGGAGAGGACGGGCGCAGGAGGATAAGTTCAGACATATGTGACCCAATTGATTGATTGATTGGTTCATTGTCAGCGTCCAGATATGACGACAGATGTGGATACGAACGCAGCATCGGTTTGAGGACAGTGAGTGACATACGCGTGGTGTGTCTACCTATATAGGACAGCTTAACAATCAATCAATCAACTAACCAACCAACCAACCAATCAATCAACCAATCAATCAATCAATCAATCAATCAATTCGATCAATCAATTCGATAATCTTTATAAATTTGGATTGTATATATATCATCAAACAGAGCCTGCCCGGTAAACCGTAGGCAGAGAGGGAGAAGAGGACAACGAACAAACGAGGGGCTGTGACAAACTGTTTCGTCGGAGTTTCACCGACTCATCAGGAGGCTGAACATATACATATATATTCACATATACCGGGCAGTTCTGTTTGTGACGATATATATTCATAGAATATATACTCCGACGAAACAGTTTGTCACAGCCCCTCGTTTGTTGTCCTCTTCTCTCTCTCTGCCTACGGTTTACCGGGCAGTTCTGTTTGTGACGATATATATATATTCTTCAATATATATATATATTCATGGATTATCACGTATCGGTCAGGGGACTTCGCAGACTGTAGAGGGTCCAGCCTTCTGATGAGACATTCGGTGAAACTCTGACAAAACGGTTTGTCACAGCCCCTGGTTTGTTGTCCTTTCTCCCTCTCTGCCTAGTACGGTTCGCCGAACAGAACCCAGTCTCATCACGACGAATGCATCGGACCGGAAAGATAGCTTGCGTGCATTGATGATCCCAGTGCATTGTGTTTGGGGTAAGACGGTGGTGATATTGTGTTCTGCTTGCGCAAGTATGTGGCGTTTCAGGGCCACATTCAAAACACGAGGACAGTTTGGACGGCAGCACCGGACCTTCAGTACGGCTGTATACAGTCGAAAAGTTCTGGTGTGGTACTTTGGGACATCCGTTAAAATTGGAACGATACAGAATAGATTAGCATGGCCAAAAAAAAAAAAAAAAAAAAAAAAAAAAGGTTGTGGTGCGAGTGATTGTGGGTGTATACGATGGTGAACGTTCTGCTGTGAGTGAGCTCTTGTTCTTAGGGAAAGTTTGGATTGAATCTGGGCTTAATTATGTCTAAATACAATCGAGAAGTTCTGGTGTAAGCAAGCTGAGCCTCTTCTGAGGGACAACTTGGACCGAACGCATGCGACCTTACTTATGGCTGCATACAGTCTAAAGGTTCCGCTGTGAGTAAGCGCTTCTTCTTAGGGGCAAATTGCAAAGGGCAAAGAAACTTCATACATGCGTAGATTGAATCTGGCCTTAATTATGTCTAAATACAATAGAGTAGTTCTGCGGTAAGCAAGCTCTTGTTAGGGACAGCTTGGACTGAATGTGACCTTACTTATGGCTGCATACAGTCTAAACGTCTGCTGTGAGTAAGCTCTTCTTCTTAGGGGCCAAGGGCAAAGGGCAAAGGGCAAAGGGCGAAGCCCAAAGGGCAAAGCCCAACGAAACTTCATACATGTATAGACGGTGTACCCACGAGTAAAACCTTGACCATCTGTAAGCCCTAGTTTAACCCAGTTAGACCACTGGATGTTATGGCAGTTCATCCCTGGCATCCCTTTCGGTGGCAAATGACGACATTAGCGCAGTGCATCGTCTTCTCTCACAGTGCGCCGGACATGTGCTTGCACTACGTGTTTATCACACGGTCGGCCACGTGACAGATGCAGCGCACGCACTACGGTCTTCCCCCGAACATAACACACCCTAAAAATGAATGTTTACAAGCTATATTTCCGGCCAGATACAGCCAAAATAAGGGCGCGTTGTGTTTGGGGGAAGACGGTAGTAGGTGGGGCCAGATTTCAACAACAAAAAAGAAAAACAAAGGCCTCCGCAGGGCAAGACATCCTACAGCATATACACCGACACTTACACTGAGTGTCCATGTGCTATCACTTGAACTTACGCCCTCGATGGAACGTCCACCCTCGATGGAACGGAGGAAATGGGATGTGAACCCATGCGACAATCTTGTTGTATGTTGATCTAGCAAACCAATGCCTTCAGCCGCGCAGCCGTACCGCCCTGGAAAAAAGGGGCTCTGAACGTGGTCTGCTGTGTGGACTGCGAAGTACGTTCTCTCTCCACTCCTCTCCTCTCTCCTCTCAGAGGGAGATAGCGAGCGCTCACTCGGTTTCCAGATACCCCGTCGGAATGCACCTGGACGTGCAGGAAGCCAGGTGCCTATGTTGTTGCTGCGTGTGGTGGTGAATGCCGAGCGACAGGAGTGTACTGGACTTTGCCAGTTCTTTGAAAGGGAGTAGACCCTAGCACCTCTTTTGGTTGTGTTTCCTTTATCCCTTCAGGATTCAAACTAATGCTGTGTCTGTTCAGTCACAGCACATGTGTGTACCATTCATTGAGGCACGTGGGCTGGGTGTCTTTGCACGGTTCTGGCAGAGACTTGTGGGCAATTCTTCCCTTTTTTTTTTTTTTTTTTTTTTTTTTTTTTTTTAAAAACATGCTCCATCTTTTTTTTTGGAGCAACACCTGTTGGA